GATTGTTATATTACAACACTAAATACATATGCTTCCACTTTGTAAAGTTTAATTTATATATTATCAACTTAAATTATTTCTACATAAATATATCATAAGAATTTCTTAAAATCTGAATATTCTTACAGTCCGGGTTTTCTGTCTTTATTTAGTAATTAAAAAATATGAAAAAATATTTGGTAGATTTATTAACAATTGTAACTTACTATTGCATAATAGTTTAATAAAAAATAAAGCTGATGTTTGTAATCCTAGTACTTAACTTTTAACAAATAAAAAAATATTTAATGTATTTATTAATATATTTTGCTTCAAACATAAATATAGAGATGGATGAAAAAGTAATTCTCTACTAATTAATTTGCATATTGTTTTTATAAAATAAAATGTTTAAAAACTTTACAAGTTAAAGAACAACATCATATATAACTAAAAATTAATTATATTATTCTAAAGCTTCTAACACATTAATTTAATTAAAATCAACTTTATGGAAACACATGCTAATTATTTTAAATAGTGTATTATAAATATAAATTATTTTAACTTAAAAGTAGTAGTTTCTTATATTATTAATTATCGTTTAAGTAATTATCAAGCATTTTCTATACAAATTGTTGATAAAACTTGAAAGTTATTATTACAGGTTTAAAATTATGGAATTTATTTAATTTTAAATATGGAAAAGAATTATATTTTAAAAATAAAATATATTTATAATTAATATAATATCTATTTATTTTTATATTTATTGAAAAATAGTTATTTGAACTAATAGTATTTTATAAAAAAAAATTTAAACATATATTAAAATAATATTTAACTATGAAACATCTAAAAACGCATCCAAAGTGTAACTTAGTCCTTTAAAATTGACTACCAAACTGCTATATAAACCATACTTTTACCCTGTTCTGTGTTCTGCCTCTTATTCCTAACCGCTGTATATGAAATTAGGGTTTCGCATTCCTTTGCCTCTTTTCAACTTTTACAACCCCAAATCATAATAGGCTTCTTTATCTGGTCGGTGAGATTACTTACGTTCTCATTTGACTCGTTCCCTTGAAGCAATAGTTATTTGTGTTGTTCTTTAATATCTTTTCCACAATCCATTGGTTTTGGGAGCACACTGAGCAGCTAAATTCAATTTTATACCGAAGTATTAGTTTTTTATTCTGGGTCTGCATTTTTTCGTTGATTGGATAACACGAGTTGTTATTTTCAACTGTGATGAGCCTACAGACCTGTAATGATTTGCGGCTATGATCGCAAACATAACTGAACATCTAAGGGACTGAGTTGTCTAATTTTTCTCTAAGATTTCTGTTTGATGTTTTTACATTTGTTTAGAGTTTACGCAACCTAAACTCAATGGATAGGTTCTTAGGTTTTAGTGATCATGATTTTGTGTTTCGATTTGGGCATTAATAGTTGAAATGCATGCTTTTCTTAAGGACTTTGGTTTTGCACTTGTTTAAAGCTTTTTTGTTTGTTTAATAAAGCTTATGTGTGTTAACATTTCGCAATGCAATCTTTAAATTTCGGTGTTTGCATTCATTTGGTTGGTGTCGCAGAACTAATTTTTTGTATTTTCGGCTGGCACTTGTTTTTTAATTTTCACTCTAAAGTACAAGGTGGTCGTTTATGTTGTTTGTTTTGAATTGAAATTCGAAAAGTTTGTAAATCCATTTTGTTATTTCATTCGTAATTGCTTTAAAGCTCGGTGTTTAGAATGTGAAGTATGCTATGAGTAATTTGTATTTAGATCAAAGCATATTATTTAATCCAAGAGTTGTTCATGAGGTAATTGATGATTTATTATATGCAATATCTATGGTTTACTAGGTCTGTACATGTCGCCTTTGGAAAATATGCTCACTTTTTCATGGAAAATTATAGGGAGCAACATCATGTCTTAAAAAATTGTGTCGGTTGGTTTGTTGGAAATTTTAGCCACTGTTCTCTTTCTTTTAGTTCTTTGTTACTTTGCAACTGGTCTTACGACTACGTTTGTTTACCTTGCCTTAGTTTTTGGGTTACACTTTGGTTCCTTTCATCGTAGTCTTTGCCTACACTTTTGTTTACCCTGGACACATATAATTCAGGTCTACGTTTTTGTTTATGATGGCATATTGGCTATACTTTTGTTTCAGATATATTTGATCCTTGTGTGCTCATATGTTGACGCTATGTAATGGGATTTGCTTATTGTTAGTGGCCTTGAAGATAGCTTTATTTGTGTTTTGTTACATCATGTGATGAAATTTGGAAAAATCTTAGGACACCTTCCTACACAGCAAATTACTGCTGTGGATGAGAATGCATTTTCCATGCTGATGATGTACTTCGTTCTTATTTGAATAAAAGGTATTGAGCATTATTGGATGCAACTACAATCTTTTTGATGATCCCGTCTGGTAAGATGTCATTTCTTTTAAATTTATAATATTTCTGTTATGATTTCTGTTTTCTGGCACTCGTGTGTCTAGGTGATGCTATTGTTAACTCTGATGAGCCTACAGACCTGTAATGATTTGCGGGTATGATCGCAAACATTAATTGAACATCTAAGGGACTGAGTTAATAGTGTTTCTCCTAGATTTCGATTCGATAATTATGTTTTGCTACATTAGTTGTTTTTCTTTCAATTAGGGTATATTATTTGAAAGGCTTCAGTCTTTCTTAGAGACTTTTTGCGTCACGTTTCACAATTTGTTCTGGCAATCTTTAACTGAATACAATGTGCATTTCCCTCGCTATCCAATGTAGCAATTTGATGCTGCAATTGGACGTCGGGGAACAAAATCCCCTTCTTTGCCCTCAGAAAGTGAGGGATAGAGATTTCAAGTGTTTACGATGAAATGAAACGATTTTCGTATTTGCTAGAGCTTTTGATTTGAGGTGTATCTAATTGTGTTTTCTCATACTTAGGAGATTATATATCTCACAAGGAATTTGAATTTAGAATATCGTATATAATAACACATTCATTTACCCCATCATTTTCTATAACCAATTTTAAGTTAAAATAACATCACTCTTTTAGCAATGTTTCTCAGAACACTTGCCAGAACTTGAGAAAAAAATGAATATTTGGTTAAGTAAACTCTACCATATATGCCAATGAATGAGTCAGCTTGGTACTTTTGACCACTTTTGTCATTACTCTGTAGGTAGTTATGTCTTGTTTGCTTACTCCTAAAACTGGGGTGAAAAGTATATTTTACACATCTATAATTTGATGTAGAAAATTTTAACATGAAATTTTGAATTTTAAATTCAAAATTGTATACTATTATTCTTACGTTACTCTCGGTTCCATGGGTTGCTCTACCTCCTTTATAGCCATTTTTTTGTGAGAATAACTCTCCTAATTAGTTTTAAAAGGGAAAGAAAGTAGGCAATTCAACGACACATTTGGCCAACCATACGCCGATCGATCAGGGTGATCTTCCATGTTCGAGATGCTTGATTGGCTAGACAAGCTTATAGTTCAACGAGATTAATTATATTAAATAAAATTTTTGTTATAAAGCATAATATAATGGTGTTTTGGACTATTGGAAACCCTTTGCTTTCGAGAGGTTGATTAGTGAAGTAATATATAGGAGGAAGCACACAGGAAGTTTAGGAATATTATATTCATGAAGCTTTAAATAGAAGAGAAAAAGAGGTGAGAAGAGTAAAATAGTTGATTGTAATTTTGAAGAAAATTAAAATATTTACCACTATGAGCAAATACTTCTCAAATGGTGTGAATACTCATAGGAACTTTTGACTAAGGTTGTTGAGTACTAGAGCTAATACTTAAAAATTAAGAGTAGTTAATCGTGTGAAAGAGACTTGATATCTAGTTGGAGCGAATAAATATAAAAGCAATTATTTCTTATCTAAACATTCTCTTACAAAAACTTGAAGTTGTGCTTTATGTCTAAATACAAGAATCTTCTTAGCTAAACATTTATTTTTCACAAGAGAAGTTCTTCAAAACAAACACACGAATCTTCTTAGTTAATCATTTATTTTTCACAAGAGAAGTTCTTACAAAACACTACATGACATATTATGAATAATATGTTAAAAATTGTTATCGTTTATTTATATTTTAAGCTTTTAAAAGAAAATTTCAGAGTTCGATAACGTGCTAAATCAGAAAGGTTGCGAAAAGTTTTCCATTAGTACTATTCAACTCCTATTTAGTGTTTTCAATACTTTAGGGTCCACTTTGGAGATGAATGAATTTGTCAATCAGTTTTGATAGATGTATCCTTGAAAAATAGGAGGTGTGGGTTAGTGTATATTGACTTATCAATGGCGTTTGTAGTTGACCTGTATTTTTGTGATATTAGTTTTTTAATATCTTGATAATGGTTATTATGCGGAAGTGCTTTGTATGTATTTTACAAAATGTGTGGGCAATTGTTTCGTGATTGTTTGTTTTAGCTTAACGAAGTGTCACGATACTGAACCCACTATGAGATAAATGGTGTTGTATGCTTTTTGGGTATGACTTCTTTTTATACGTTCTTAATAATGCGTTGATAATTTTCCTTTGTGAATGGGTAGAAAGATGAATCTCTTCATCTTTAAGAGGCGGTGAAAGAGGAGAATCTCTTCGTCTTTAAGAGGTTGTCGAAGAGATGAGTTTTTTCATCCATGATGGAGTAGTATAAGAGATTGAGATTCGAGTGCTACCTTTTTCTTTTGAGGGGGTAGAAAGGGATAAATGTTTCATCCATAGCTTTCCAAGTCATATTGAGTTTAGTGCTGATGGGAGCATATTGAAGTTTTACTCATAAGCCTTAAGGACAGAGGAGATAGGTCCGAAGCTATGGTGGAAGAACCACTCGAATTGACTGTTTTGATAAACAGGAATGGTACGATAATGCATTGAAGTTGGCATATGTTTTATAGAGATTGTTGTAATACACTGGTTGCCTTTAAATGACAGGTGGTGTAAATTTAATGAGTTGATCATGATTCGCTTTCAAGGGAGAATATGATTTGACATTGTATTGCATGTTATAGTCTTAGTAATGTGTTGATATGTTTTGTTGTGATGAGATTGTAGTAAGGACTTAATGACTGAGATATGAATGTTGTAATTGATATTTTGATGTTTATTCTGTTAGTTCACCCTTGGTTGCTTGTGTTTGTGTGATGATTATATAACTCATGTTGTTATATGAGAATAAATGATATTAGATAATTCAAGAAGAGACTTCAAGCGACAAAGTTATCAAGAAAATGATTTTTTTTTGAGTTATTTTGAAAGTTGTTGATTTTTCCTATATTTTGAATGGTTTCATAGAAGAACAGCAACGAAAGCCTCTGTGGCATCGTGAAGTGTATGGAATCAGATCTGCAATATCAGCAAATGCATTATGGAAGAAGAGAAGCAACCTAGAAAAGAGTGTGGGAAGGAAAAGAGAAAGAGAACAATAAAAGCCCTTTTTGTATTATTTGATGAATAATATTGTACAATACAAAGAAGATTATATAGGGAGAGAGAAGAAACAGAGAAGGAAAATAGAAAGGAAGGAAAGAAAAATAGAACAAAAACAGAAGCGGTGGTGGCACGTGGAAAAGAAAGCAGTGTTAACGGTGCTTTTAGAAAGTTTTCTTGACCCTTCCCTCAAGATTGGCATAGATGTTCAGAGTGTCAAGCTTGGAATTGATGGCATGGAAGATGGAAGGAGGAAGGACCTTCGTTAAGATATCAGCAAGCAAGTGGTATGGATGGGGAGAAGCTTGATAGAGCCTTGTTGGACTTTTTTCCGCGAATTAGAGGTGACAATATATCTCGATATGTTTGGTTCTTTCGTGAAAAACCTGATTAGTAGCAATTTTGAATCACCCAGGTAAACAATGTATCCCGTGGTGGATTTGCGATAATTTTGTGATCTTGAAATTTATGGTTTTGTGATCATTTTGTAACTTTCAACCAAAAGTACAATTCCTGGATAACTAAATTTTTGTGATTGTAGAATTGGATTAATGTAAAAGTAGGTGACACTTTTATCAGGAGTGCTTTGGAAAAGGTTGCAGTGAGTAGTTATTTTCTTGTTGTTGTATTTATTTTATATAATTATATTCCCTTAATAATTACTTTTTAGGTTGTGTTGGTATGTCCAAAGAAGAGTTGTGTTATCCTAATGTCAAAGTAGCATTTGAGAAATATGGTGTTGGATTTAAGAAACAAAATAAAAGACACAAGGAACATCGCATTCGTGTTGTACAAGAATAAGAAAGGGTTAATGAAAGTACTAAAGATAAAGTCATGATTAATGAGGAGAAAGATGTTAGTGGAAGTGTTAATGAGCATGAATTTCCTATAACAGACAACTTGTGTTGTGGTGATGCCATGTCAATTGAACATCAGCACGACAACACATTGGTTGAAGAGGAGGTTTATATAGAGCAAAACAATATGTATATGCAAATGAAGATTGAACTATGAATACGGTTCAAGAGTTGTGATATTAGAACCCTATTTCCCAATTATGGGAGTAAAAGGAAATGAAATATATACAAAAAGTTGACATCGTTGTACACTTTAGTAAAAGAACATTAATTTGTTAAATTGTTCTTTTACACATTGTTGTAAAGTTTAGTGAAAACATTTGTAACCGTAAGTGATTTTGTAAAATTTGGCAATACATTAATTGTAATTTGTTGTGCGAATTTCTTTTGTTATCAATTGTATGAGTTTTAAATGAAAATTGGTTTGAAGATGTGCAAATCTTGTTCATCTATTCAAATTCTGTCATGTTAATGTAAGTGTGAAAAACATCCAACATAGATAGTCAATTTTTCGTACACTGCTCCCTACTTATCTTTGTTGTATGATTTCACAATTTATGTGTCAATAAAATGAGGCTGCTAAGGCACTTTCTATTCAAATAAGCCAAATGGTATGTGTAGGAATCATTTGTTGGTCATTGATTATTTTTCATGAACAACATCCAAATGTTTTATTGAATTCTTTTGAAACGGTACATAATTATGTAGGTTGCTACCCACTTATTTTGCCTATGGTGTCCACTTATGTTGTAGTGTTGTTTTTAGTTTTATTTTTCCTTTAGCCATGAAATTTGACCTCTTTGTGTTGGGGTGAGTTAGACCATGTATGTGGTAGATTAGAAACACATAACCTTGGTTGTATTCAATTGTTCAAGCGTGTATAAAATTTTGTCGATATCCCAAAGGAATAGGCAATCTCGATATATGCTACAAGGGAAGCGAAAACTTCAAACTGAAAGATTGCTACGATGCTGATTATACTGAAGATAAAGTTAGACGTAAGAGTACAAGCAGAGACACACACACCTACACCTACACCCACACCCACACCTATACGTATGCACTCACCTACACACTTCCACACACAACCACACGATCACACGCACATACCCATACACACATCCATGATCACAAATATTAAATGTGGCAAATAACATCTCACTTGGACACCTAATATTAAAGTTGTACCATAGCTCAGGAAGTGTTAATGTAGATGTTTCTTAAAATAATTAGATTTAGGTGCTTCAAGTTTTGTTTTTATCATTTTTCTGGAAATTTTACTTTTGCATATCAGGGGTCTATTGTTTTAATTAAAGCTATGTAATTATCCTTCACTTTTTAGCATTCTATTAATTGAAAATGTGTTTAAAAATATTGAAAGTCATTTTACACCAAACATCAACAAGTTAGATTATTTTAAAGTAAAATCTCGGAATACTAATAGCTAATGTGGAAAAAGAAAGAACAAAGGTCAATGAAAGTGAAACATGTGGTATGATTATGCA